GACAGAAGTCTTCATAGCATGATCCATGGACATGTATTGGTCACTGGGACCATCTCAGGCAATCACCAGTGACATCAAAAACTATTTTCATAACCAAACCAATATGTTGTTTGCTGTGTTACTAACTGGTCAAAACAATGAGTAAAACCATGTGAATATGTGAAAATTAGTATGAATCATGTCAGTGACACAGAATTCTGCCATGAGTCATTTTATTCTTCACTGAAAAGCGCTTTCAGTGAAAGAGACTCCACTTTGATATAGAAATGTCCTTTGGGAGACAGGAAGTTATTCATTTTATTAAATTATGACCCTCAACTGCAAAGCTTTTTAATATTTTGTGTGATGAAATGAAAAGTATACTAATCACACTTCTGCAGAAGACTGAACTTGGAAGAGTTTCTCCAGGTAAAGAATTGTTTGATGCATTGAGTTACAGGCTGTGAAGTCCAATTTTTCATGAAAAACCATGACTTTAAGTGAAACCCAAATTATTAAAAAAAAGAATAAAAGATAGATAATAGAAAGTTAAGGACATCAGTCTTCCTCAAATGGAAAGGAGATCAAGAGGAGTGGGGAGAGGGGAGAAAAAGGGTATGAAAAAAAGAAATTAAGATATGTTTTGTATATGTACCAACTCCACATGAGGAATGTAAATATTATGTATTGCAAACATGTACTTATAAACATTTTTAAAATAAAAAAAAATTGGATTTGGAAATTTGCTTTACTACTGTTAGCTTGACTGCTTCCCTTTACTTAGATGCTTTTTTTTGTGAAAATACATGATGATAATAATGAGTATATTTTAAAATATAATACAGTAAAATGTGCAAACATTTGGAGATATGCATAATGTGATTCAAAATCTATTTTCCAAAGGATCAATGTAGAACACTGCAAAATTATGCACGAGTAAAGGATCAGCTCAACATGGAACATACACCAATGAATTTCAATCTAATATAGAAGAGTAAAGAATATTCATTAATATACTTTCTGCTGCCACCTAACAACTAAATTTTGTGGCACTTCCACTACTCAGGTTGTGGTGTAGTATGAAGAAAATATACACCATGTCCGAAAAGGCTGTGAAAAATACTCCTCCCTTATTAGATTTCTTATCTGTGTGAGATTAGATTTTATCCAAATGCTTTAGCCATGATAATTTATCACAACAGGTTGTATACAGCAACATATATGAGAACCAAGCTCTCTTTTCTGGAACTAGACATTGAAGAACTTTGCAAAAAAATGCTTCTTACTCGATATGTTTTACATTTTGGAAAATAGTTATTTTTCATTGCAAATTCGTTTCATTTATGGTATGTAAATTAAAATTTAAATGCTTTGGAATTTTCCAGCTTTAATTTCAAATTTAGTAAATTTGAATATAACAAACAAAAGCTCTTTAATATCCTCAATAAATTTTAAGTAAGTACATGGTTCTGAAGACCACAAATATTGAGAACTATTAGGGTAGAGATTACAATATATATCCTGAACTTTCATGATGTTACACAATTTTCACCAGGAGGAATCTCCGTTCATTAACCCGTCAGGTAAGGGCAATATTGGCACCTAAGGCTGTTGGAGCAGAGATTTGGAACTTTTATCCCTCAGTCAGCAAAAGCTGGAACCGCGAGTCCAGCTCCCAGATCATGTGCCTTCCAACTGCCCCACAGCAAGCAAAGGGAGTGAGACTCTGCGCTTCCCTAGGGTGAGGAGGGCGAGTGGATTAAGTGAGTAGGAAGGATCTCATTTCCCCTCTTTGCTTGACCATATTCAGTCAGTCCAGGTGGTTGTCATGGAAGTTGTAAATTCCTGGCAAAAGTCATCTTCAATCACCTCATTTTTCCCCTTTGAAAATGTATCTTCTGGGAGGTACTTTTTACTTTTACTCTCTCCTTGTCTCCTTTTTCTCAGCAATTTCACTGTAATATAACTAAGTGTCATTTTCTTTTTCTTTTAATGTTGTGCCTAAAGGTCATTGGCAGTGTTGGTTGATCAGCTGTATTGAATAAATATTGGGCATTATTTTCTCTAAATACTTTCCTTTCGTTTTCTCTTCTCTTTGGGGCTCTACACGTATTTTAGCATAGCTGCTATAATCTGACTATGCTCATTTCCTTATTTCACGTTTTAAACTTCCCAACTCCCTATTGGCCCAAGTTCATAGATGTCTGTTTATCTGCTGTGAAATTTCTGGAAGTTTTCCTCCCAGGGTTCAATCCTCTGCTGGGTCTTTTTATCTAAAATTGTAGAATGTAAACTTATATTTTTAAGATTTTGAGTTTGAATTTGACTTTTTGGTTTCAGTTTCTGCCCTGTTATAACTAATTTCTTCATACATTCTCTTTTCACCATAAGCATATTGTCAGTAGTTGTTTTTAATTGTTTCTTAATTTCTTTTTTTTTCTTAATTTCAATATTGGTAAATCAGTGAGTATTTTTTTCTCTATTATTAATCATAGTATTGTGCTTCATTACATATCTTATAATTGCTTCTTTTTCTATAAATATATTGAAGACTGAGGCATAATTTTGAATCACTTTTTCATTGATAAGCCTTTTCCTACATCTATTAGTTCACGTGCGATTTCTCATACAGGGGTCTCTGATTATGGGATTTTCTCAACTCTCAACTACTTACTCTGCCCTCTACATTTAATGATTCATTTTCATATTCCATTTGTAAATAAAAGCATAGACTGCCGTGAATTTGACTACATATGGTCACATAACCACCAATATAATCAAGATAAAAATGATATTGTTATATCTTACAGGCTCCCTCATTCACAACCAGGATAACTACTATTCTGATTTTTATGATTGTAATTTTGTTCCAGAATGTCGTAAAAGTGGAATCTTATGGTATGTACTTCAGTGGGCTTCTTTTCATTAGTGCGGTATACTTGAGATTCATCCTTAATCTATGTATCTATGCTCATACACAGTACGTAGTTGACCCTAGGGTTCACTCTAGGTGTTGCAGCTCTATGAGTTTTGACAAATGTGTAATGACACATGTCCAACATCATAAATCATGCAGAATACTTTCACTGCCCAAAAAGTCCTTTATGCTTTTCATTTTCCTCTCCTCAACTGCTGGCAACTCTTGATCGTTTTGTTTGTGTGTCTGTCTTTTGTTTGTTTTTTGAGACAGGTCTTGTTATGTAGTTCAGGCTGGGCTTGAACTCACTATGTGAGGCTGCCATGGAACTTGGGGAGATCTTCCTGCTTCAGCCTCCCAAGTGCTAGGATTACAGCCATGTGCCACCACTCCTGGCCAAACCTTGATTTACTACCTCCATAGTTTTGCTTTTTCCAGAAGGTCATATAGTTGGAATCATACAGTGTGTAGCCTTTTCATATTGGCTTCTTTCACTTAGTAATATGCATTTTAGGGTTTTTCCCTGTCTTATCATAGCTTGACAGTTAATTTCATTTTAGTGCTGAATAATATTCCATCATGTTGATGTTGCACCATTTATTTTCTCATTCACCTCCACAAGGCCATTTTGGTTGTTTCTGAGGTTTAGCTTAAGGTTCCATAAACATCTTTGTGTAGTTTTTTGTGTGGTTTTAAGTGTTAATTAATTTGGGTAAATATCAAGGAGTGAGATCGCTGTAATATATGGTAAGAGTATCTTATTAAGAAACCACTAAGCTATTTTCCAGAATGGATATACCAGTTTGCATTTCCACAAACAATAAATGTCCTCACAAGCATTGGTTAGCCAACCTCAGGTCTGTCACTGTGCTAATACAAAATGGATTACTTCAATCTGCACACCACTTATGTGTTTGGGCTGCTTGTGGAAATGATCATTACGGTAATCAAATGATTAAATGTAACAAAGTATGGGAAGGACTTTTTGGCTGATTGAATTGGTATTTGAAAAGAATTTAAATGGCTTGAATGGTGAGATTTAGTGATTCAAACACAGTAAGGTTTGGAAAGCCAGTGGTGTGAACATGCATTGGCTGGGGTTCATATGTCAAACACTCAAGTGTAAAAGGGACTTGGAACCCAGCATGAACTACATTGTGGCTGCTCAGAGTTAATCCTAGGCTGCATGAGCAAGGTCCAGGATCAGAGCAGGGGGTGAGTTTTTCAGTCACTCGTGGCTCTTTGGGAGCTCCATGGTTATCTCTGCAGCCTGGTTGGGTGTGGGGTTAGGAGGACTTTGAGAGCCAACATGGCCAGGCTTTCTTAATTAGAGATGAGGAAATGGGCTGTGTCTCGATTCTAGCCTGCATCAGAATCACCTGGGCTTGCATAAATTCAGCTTGCTGGGCCCTTCTGCTAGTGTTTGATTCAACAGTCTCAGAGGGGCTCATCTTCAGCAGTTGCAGGTGATACTGGAAGTTCCGGGACCACACTCTGAGACTTTCTTCTGTCAAGGTAAATTACTGACTACTTACTGAAGCACAGAAACATAACCCAGAACATTGTTCCTGGGGATTCTGAAAAATGTTTTAGCTAAAGGAAACTTGACCTGGGCCTCTTCCATGGCAAGCCCTGAGCTGGGACTCAGAAAAAAGTTTTAAGCAGGGCTGTTGTCTGCCTCTTCTTTCTTCTCTCCTGCAGAAGGGCTAGAACATGGCCACAGAATAATGACAGTGAGAGAGTGACTGGTTAGAACATTCTAAGCGGTGTGTGTGTGCGGGGGGGGGGGGATAAAAGTGGTCAGGCTCTCTGGAATGGGAATCTCAGCTTTGCTTCTCACTAGCTACAGGATCATGTCTTAGTTCGTGTTCTGCCACTATAACAAAATAGCTAGGGCTGGGTATTTTACATATTGAAGAGGCTTATTTATCATATGGTTCTGGAAGTCCAAGAGCACAATACCAATTTTTCTCAGCTCTGGCTTCTCTTCACAGCCCCCTTGGCTGTACTGAATCACAGTGGAGACATTATGGCAGGACTGCATGCTAGAGGGACAGATCACCCAGTGAGACAGGAAGTCAGACAAGTCCAGGGGCCAGCTTTGCTCTTTTATCAACCTGCTCATACAGGAACTAACCATAATTTTGTGAAAACCACCTTAAATCCTTCTGAGGGCATCGTTTCCAGTGTCCTAACCTTATGCTACACCTCTTATAGTTCCCACCACTTTTTAATGCTGTCATTACCAGGAACCACGCTTCCAGCACATGAAACTTTGGAGACCCCCTCAAACTATATCCAAATCACAGCAGGCTATGGGTAAGCTTATCTTCATTTCCTCAGCTCCCTCATGTATAAAAGGTTGGGTGCCAGTTGCTTCTGATTTCAATGGTCCTGCTCAATGGCTGTCATTTCTTTGTCTTTTCTTTCCTTTTATGTTTGTTTTGTTTTCTGCACTGCTAGAGAGCATACCAGGCATGTGATTTCCTATGAACCTACAGTCATTTGCATTACAAGTGGTCATGGTCCCTGTCTATCGGAAGGTAGGTTTTGTAGAACCTGTCATTTCCTGGGAAATTGTTCTCCATCTCATTTCATGTTGGGTGAGTCCTTTTCTCACAGAATAGACTAGACTCGATGCAACAGGAAACACTGAGAATCAATTCTTTGTTATTATAGACCCTATTCCTGCGTCCCGGTAGGAGACCATCAACCAGAAACTTTTTGCAAATCCTCCGAAGGGGACAGAAGCAATGAGAGCTGCTCTTGCTCCCTCGATGCAGTAGTGTAGCATTTACTCACTTCTGTAATAACCCGAAATGGTCTAGTGTTAGCATTCTTCGAGCAGTTGGCAATTATAGTCAGAGATTGTTGTTAATTTTTTTTAAAGCAGCTTATGGCAGTGACAAAAAAATGATTGCTTCTGAAAATTCATGGAGTGTCAGCTTCGTCCACCATCATGGAGAATACTATTAAACTGTGAGGCACTGAGAAAATGAAGCAAGAAATATCAAGCAGCTGTACTGAGAGTGGAGTCCAAAGATTCAGAGCTGAGGGAGAGCATATTGGCATCCAATATATCACATCTTCACTGACCGACTCTCTCTTTCTCTGTTTCTTTTCTATTTTTCATTCTCAGAACACTCCAGGGCAATGTGAGCCCCAGCTTCAGAACACAGTGCCAAAAGAGAACTCACCTAACCTGTGGTTGTCCTGCTTCAGGACATGTCGAGGGTCACTGCATTGCAGCTGGGACAGAACAAACTCATCCTTGGCCACAGGTCCACAGGAATATCTTCTCTGGTGGGTGGGTGTCCACTTAGGTGTGTCATGTCTGCTTATTTGAAGTCAAATTTTTTCTCACTGAAAGCTAGCCTCAGCTAAAAAATACTCTGTTTTCATCCAGTCTTCTAAAAACCAAAAGGAACTAAAAGAGCAGCACCACTGAGTGGAATTGCTCTTTAGGTGATTCTCCAGAGAGACTCCCAAAGATGGGAGGTGTGGTGAGAGCACATCATTCCTCACCTCCAGAAATTTCTCCTTCACAGGGTGCCTTGGGATTGCTCTGGATGTTTTGAAGAGGGAAACCCAGTGGTCAGCTCATAGATATCCACTAAGGTGACTTGATGATGGGTAGGTACTTCTGATGAAGGAGGCATCTGACAAAGGAGGGGAGGAATCTGTAACAGTGAAGGACACTGAGAAGCACATTGAGACAGCTGCTTAAGACCACCAACACCTGTGTCATCCACTTTTGCCATGACAATACTTCTTTGGGTCTAAGGTGACTCAGCTATTGAGCACAATGAAGTACTTCAGTCAAGAGAGCTTTTGCCTGATGCACAGGAAGCCTTCGAAGTCCTTTTGTTTACCAGCTCTTAGGATTGTTGTCTGGTATAGATCTGATTTGACAAGATAGTGACACCATGGAAGGTGGCTCTCTGTGTCTTAGAGCATCATTTGCTCAGAAATATTTCCTTGGTGTCTTCTGTCTGCCTAGCCTGTGCTGGACACTGGAGTTCAGAAAAAAAAAAGACAGTCCTAGACTTGGTTTTGCAGAGGGAGATGAGTGCAGACAGCGGGTGGCAGGACAGAAATAGGGAGTTAGTAACTGTGAGTTCAGAGGAAACATTTCTGGAAATTTTATGTGAAGCAGGCATCATCTTAGATGGAGCTTCTTTTGTGGCAAAGGCATCCTGCCAAAGGGAACAGCTTGGACAATGGTGGAGGTGAGAAAGCAAATGGCATCATGGGAAGCAGCTGGTGTGGTGTCCTGTGTGGGAAGAGGGCACAGAGACCTGAAGAACAGAGCTGACTCACATGGCGAGGGCTCAGTGCCAGACCCCAGAGCCTAAAACTGCTGAAGCCTGTGGGTAGAGCTGCTGTTCCATCAATATAGACCTGTACAGCTTCAGAGCCTTCCTTTGCTGTGGCCTCAGGCTAGATTTGCCATGGCTGGAGCCTAGATCTACTGTTGCACAAGCTTAGACATTCAGTGTCCTCAGAGCTTGACTTTCTTTGGCTACAGGCTAACCTGCTGCAGCCTCAAGCCTCTGTCTGCTGTGGCCTCAGGATAGATCTGCCTTGGCCTCCAGCTAGACATGCAGTGCCTTTTGAGCAGAGGCCTGCTTCAGCCTGATGGCTGAAGGTCAGACCCTAGACCTGAGAACAGGATTCTGGTTTAATGGCCCTTAACTGTTAGGGCAGGGTATTCAATATAAGTGCCTGGAAATCAGAAAGGTCAGTTCAGGTTCTAAAGGCTAGAGATTAATGGTGGACATCAGGTCTCACATTGTCAGGTGGATTTGGGGCTGCACACAGGTGGTTCTTGATCTCTGACTCTTCCTCAGTTCTTCCTCAGTTCTTCTGTGGGCTGAGTTCACAGGGTCCCCTACTTGCCAGTTTTTAGGTAGGTGGTGACAGATGAGTGCTGGACATTTGGCTGCCTGTGTAGAGTCATTAGAGTCATTTGTTTGACAAGTCCAGCAACAAGGTCCACCTGTCCGACATGAGTGTCTGCTGGGGTTCTGGAAAAGTGATGAAGTAGGTTCATCTCCTAGAGGAGCTTTCCAAAGAACAGCCTCTAAGAAACATGGGTCCCCATATAGAGAGACTGAGGAGGGCCCTTCTGCTTCCTAATGGTGCTCCTAGGTCTGTGAGGTACTGTGATAGGGTCCCTGGGAAATATCCAGGTCCTGCATGCCTATGACTCTACACTGCAGTGCTCCCAGTAGACCTCCATGCAGGATTGGAGGGGGAGTGTTCCCCAGACAGCAGCATCCGGGGAGGAGGTGATGGGGTCGGGCCTCTACCAATTGCCCTCCTGTGCCCTGTTCATTAAGCCTGAGGACCTCAGAGCTGACAGTCTATTCTCTCTCTGGTTTTCAGAGGATGAAGGAGCATTTCCTAAGTCCAGGAAAACCTGTAACCCCTCCAGAAATTTTTATATGACCATTATACCTCAGTTAGCTTTCTGGCCCTAGAAATCTATGTCAAAGAAATGTGGACATATGAAAACTTGACAAGCATTCTCTTTCCCTTGAGAAAAATGTCCCAGTTAGAACACCTAGCACCTTCCTGGTGGCATTTTAGGTTTTAGGAGACGAATGCTTCCCTTTCAGCTTCTTTAAAGAGAGGATTGCTATCTTATCTGGTTAAGACTAGGATGATGGCAAGTTTATTTGAAGTTCATCCTTTTTAGTGTGTTTGGTGGGTCCTAGTGGTTCCTGGGCCTGGGCATACTGATAGTAGGCTATAGCCTGTAGGCTGCCCTGAGAACCACAAAGGTAGTTAGGACTGGAGGGCTAGGTCTTTGGGCCATGTAGGGAGGGTAGCTAGGAGGCACAAAAGGGCAGAATGGTCAGAGCTCTGGTTCGAAGCATCATCCAGCCTTTCTGCTGACTTTTGGAGGACTCTGAGCCCTGGAGCGTCCATTCACCTGACCTAGATGCTGTTTTAGAGTGCTATAGCTTCTTGCTAAAATCACATTTTCTGAGTCCCTCACAAATTGAAGCCTTGCTCCTAGTGAGCTCTTTGAGGCTTTCTCTTCTTCCCACAGTGGGTTATACCATCATGTTAGAGCAGTACATCCTGGCCAGGCATACCATCCACATGTTCTTCCCTTTTCTGGTGGACCAGGCAAGTTGGTGCCTCCCCTTTTCTGTGCCCTTAGTTTCAGGTTTGTGCAGTCCACCTCCGAGGACAAAAGTGTTGCCTGGCTGAGAGGAAGGAAAGCCCTAGACTCCAGCCAGGTATACCACTCCCCTGGTGTCTAGGGAACCCCTTCCCTCTCTGGGCTTATGCCACAGCTGCCCCAGGCTGCTGACAGCCACGGTTAGGAGGCTCTTCCTATTCTTCCATGGGGCCAGAGCACCCCTCTTCCTCCCCTCTCCCTGTGAAAGGATCTGTGCCTTCCAGAACTGGAGACAGAGCATTTGTTTGGGGAAACAGCATTGGAGCTACATATCCAGCTGTTGCCCAGCCAGTAGCCACTAGGGCCCCTCAGCTATTTTGGCAGCTCAGATCCCACAAAGTCTTTTATTCTCTCTTCTGTACTGAATTTACAGGGCCAATTAGTTTTAAATGGGAGCAGTTGTTTACTGCCCAGCACATTGGCTCAAGCATTCCCTTTTTTTCTGCCCCTCGAAAAACTCCTCCAGATCTGTAAGAGGCAGCAGCATGTGGTGGAAAGAAATGGTCTGTGCTCCAGATATCAGTGACTCAGCATCTGCCATTGCAGCTCTTGGGGTTTGGGGTAAGTGCCTTAAGTCTAAATTTTCCTATTATAAAAACCATCCTGCCAGAGAGCCCTGAGGAGTCAGTCCAGTAGCATTTACATGAGTGACCATGATAGAAATGCAGAAAGTCATCCACATGGAGTCCAAGAAGGCAGTGAGCTGTCTGCCACCTACTTTTCCATGCTCCCACAAGTACCAAATCTACTTTTCTGGCTTCATTCACAGAGTAAGCCTGGGGCCTAGGGACTGAGAAAAATTGCAGATGACCTCATTGTCATAATGACATGCAGCAGTCTTAGCCCTTGTAGGACCTGAGCCACCAAAATAGCTTACAGAGGGGTCCATGTGCTACAGGTGCCTATATGGAACCAGGAGGTGGTGGATATTAATTTCCCCATCACTTTCTATCCCAGCATCTTGATATTTCCATAGTAACCAAAGACAGGTACTTGTCAGTAGACAATAAGGGTGCTGAGATCGCACAGCTAAATGCCTTCTGTGACTATTGAACCGTTTCAGTTACCTGAAACAACATAATCACTTTAAAGTCATCCAGAACTTTCACTAAACCAACTTCAGATATAATGTAGATAGACTTCTCTTCCTTCTGCAACAATTTCATGGCTATATCTGTCCTAATCATGAGATGGTGACCCTGGTTCTCTTGGGAAAGCTGCTCTGGCCATTAGTCCTCAGCAGCTGGCTATGAGGACCCTCTTGAGTTGTCACCTTACTGTACTCTCACTACAAACCCTAAGTAGCAGTGATAAGTAAAAAAGTTAGAAAAATGACAAAAAGGAAATAGTAAAAGACAAGCAAAAATTTAAAAGAAAAGCAAAAACCTAAAATTCTGAACTACCAAACAAGCCAGTTATGTGTGAGTCCAATAGGTCACCAACCAAGAGCTCCCTGCATTAAGGGAAAAAAAACCCCCACAAAAACAAAACAAAATACACCCAAAGCCCCAGTCTTTGATGATTATTCTTGGTTGCTGGCTTGATTGGATTAAGAGACTCCTAGAGAGGTGTTTGGATTGTGAGGGTGCTAACCTCATCAGTGATTAACCAACTGATAAATTCATAGTTTGAATGTGGTATTAGAAGATAAGGACTAATCTAGGAAATAGAGTACTGAGGACATGACACTAAAGGGTTTAACTATTCCCTGGTTCTTCTTCTTCTCTCTGGTTCTTGGCTGGCATGAGTTGAGCAGCCTTCCTCCACCATGCCCTTCACTATGATGTTCCTTCCAGCTGACCATGGACTGAAGCCTCTGAAACCAAGCCAAAACAAACTCTCCTGTAAGTTGTATGTGTCAGACAATTTGTCCTAGCAACAAGAAAGCTGACTAATATAGAAAATTGGTACCAGAGAAGTGGGGTCATTACTGTCATCACAACTGATCTCGTGATTCAGAGGCCTGTAGAACTAATTTGAGGGCAGAGTTTGGAAGTTTTGGAGTTGCAAACTAGAGAAGCTGTAGAATTCTGTAAGCAGAGATTGATGAGAGATTCTTGTGGAGTTCAGAAGACCAGAATGCTAACAGGAATGCGG